AAATGTTCATCCACAGGTAGGTGGATAAACAAATTATAGTTTACCTGTATGATGGACTAATTATCAGCAATAAAAAGCAATAAACTATGTAGAAATCTCAAAGTAATTGTGGATGTGTCCTAAAATAATTGTGCTGAGTAAAAGAAGCCAGACAAGAAAATTACTTACTGAATGATCCTATTTACATAAAATTCCAGAAAATGCAAACTAATATACAGTTCCAGAGAGCAGACCAGTGGTTGTGTGGGAGTGGAGGTAGGGAGGGCTGGGAGGAGAGATTACAAAGCAACACAGGGAAACTTTTGGGGGTGACAGCTACACTCACTGTCTTGACTGTGGTATTGTCTTATGATTGTATACATATGTCAAAATTTATCAAATCATACGCTTTATGTGCAAGTTATTGTATATCAATTATGCCTCACTAAAGTTATTATAAATTAAAAGCTATAACTGAAAAAAGTTCTAGAACAATTCAGGCATCAGAAAGCACCCATTATATGTCAGTCCCTACTTTTTATTTTTGATGTTCTATGCCACATTAAGCATCTAAGAGGAGAGCAAATTCAAACTGACTCACAAGATGAAATATCACTAACAATAATTTGGCACAAAAGTCTTGGGTGACCAGAACAAGTGGAGAATATACAGATACCTCATTTTCAGACAGAGTGAATGATATGCAATCTTTATTAAGGTCATCTCAAAGCTATGTGTTCCACATTTCCAAAAAGAAAAAAGGAAACCAAAGAAATAAAAGGAGAGAACAGAATGGAATAAGTCTATCAAACTACTTACTGACCTTATTTTTTCTTTTTTTAAATTGAGCTATATTTTACCTACTATAAAAATCACCCTTTTAAACGGTACAATTCAGGCCAGGAGTGGTGGCTCACACCTGTAATCCTAGCATTTTGGGAGGCTGAGGCGGGTGGATCACTTGAGGTCAGGAGTTTGAGACCAGCCTGGCCAACAGGGTAAAACCCCGTGTCTACTAAAAATACAAACATTAGCCTGGTGTGGTGGCATACACCTATAATTCCAGCTACTCAGGAGGCTGAGGCAGGAGAATAGCTTGAACTTAGGAGGCAGAGGTTGCAGTGAGCCAAGATCATGCCACTGCACTCCAGTCTAGGTGACAGAGTGAGACTGCGTCTAAATAAATAAATAAAAAGTAAAATAAAAAGTACAATTCAGTGGTTTTTAATATATCACAAAGTTGTACAACTATGATAACTATCTAATTCCAGAAGAAACCTTATACCCATTAAGCAGTTATTGCCCCATTTCTTCCTCCCTCCGGTCCTGGCAGCCACTAATCTACTTTCTGTCTCTGCAGATTTGCGAATCTGGACATATCTTACAAAGGGAGTCATGCAATGTGTGGCCTTTTGTATTTAGCTTCTTTTATTTAGCATAATGTTTTCAAGGTTCATCCATGTCATAGCATGTATGAGAATTTGATTTCTTGTGATGGCTGAATAATATTCCATTTTATAGAGATACCATACTCATCAGTTGATGAACATGTAGGTTATTTCCATTTTTGGCTGCTTTTAATAATGCCACTGTGAACGTTAATGTATGTTTTTGTGTGGACATAACTTTCAATTATCTTGGGTATATGTCTAGGAGTGGAATTTGGGGGACATAAGGTCACTATGTTTAACTTTGTAGAACTGCCAAACTATTTTTCAAAGCGGCCACAGCATTTTACATTTCCACCAGAAATGTATGTGGGTTATAATTTCTTCACCAGCAGATGCTATTGTCCGTCTCTTTTTTTTTTCAGCCATCATAGTGAGTATGAAGTAATATCTCCATATGGTTGTGGTTTGTATTTCCATGTGACTAATGATGTTGAACATCTTTTCATTCATGGACCTTATTAAGCCTCAGAAAACAAACAGGATTAGACCTGGCTGGGACCTGAATAAATGACCACCTTATCCTTCCCCTTTATTCTCTTTCTATGCCAAGATATGTTATTTATTCAATCACTCAGTGAGCTCATCCTGAGACTGACTCAGTCCTGGGTTAAGGCACAGCCCAGCATTCAGAAGAAATAGAAATGTTGGCCTCTGCCATCAGGAAGCTTTCATTGTAATTGGCAATAACAGTGACAAAAGAATATAGATCTTAAGGGAACCTTAAAGGATATATAACTAAAAAGATTAAATCAAAGACCATTTTCAGGTGGAAAATTCCTCCCTAAAGCCCTGCAATCTTGAGGTACTTCTTATAGGAGCTGTAAGCCAACATACAAGTTGCCTAAAAACACAGCTGTACATATTTTGAAAGGTGGGTTCGGGGCTTTGTAGATTAGTGGAATTAAATCAGTGTCCTGTTTCTAGTGTGTCCTGGTTTTCACTTACTGGCAGATTCATTCAAAAGGGTTTTGTTACATAACGTCTATGTGTGAAGAGCTGACATTCTAGTCAGGCTGTCGGGCCAGATGTTTGGGCTCTTCTGGTAACCAAATGTGTGCACTAACACAGAAACCCTATGGGGCAGGATGGGAGCTCGCCTCTGCCCGGGTGCACTCCCCAGAGCATCATTGCCTCCATCTTCTGCCCTCGCTTAGGGGGTTAAATTGTTTGGTTTCCACCATTGCCACATCATGGATTCCTGCTGTCTTTCTTCCTAAACTCCCTGAGGTCGGGCCAAGCAGACATGCAGGCAGCCTCTTTTATAGAGGATTTAGCAACTCAACTGGTAATGTTAGAACATGGTGTTAGAGAATAGAGTTTGGCATGTGGCCTGCATTTCCACAGTCTTCTTTTCCTCTGCTGATCTTTCAGGAAACAAGAGAAGTAGGCACAGCAGTGAGGCAGAAAATATTTGGAATCAGCAAAAACGTCAAACGACAGATGTCTGTATGTCTGGCATTCAAAATGGACACAGAAATAGGTTTCTGTAGGCTTAACTGAGCAAATAAGAGAAGACAAGATTCTTCTACAAATGCTTGACACATACTAAATTGCTTATTGAGCCAACCGAGGAATCTGTCAGATGCCTGACAGACATCTAAAGAAAACTACTAAGCCCATCTTTCTAAATGTAGCAATTGTGCATTTGCATCAACATGTATATATAAATCCTTCATAGTCATAGGACTTATGCTCCTGAAAAAACCATAGGCCCATCACCTTAACTTTTGGATATGAGTCCCAGTTTTTCTGCTTTACTAATGACATGACTCTGGGCAAGTCATTCAAAATGTCACAATCTCCATTTCCTTATTGTGAAGGTCTCTTCTACTTCTAAAAAGCATTCTTTTCTAACTTGTACTCCTTGTGGCACATGTAGCGCCTCTGCATTCTTTTAGTTAAATTTCAGTTCCTTGCTTCACATCCAGGCCTGCTCCACTTTTCTGCAAAATCAGCAAACCTGCCTAAAATTAAAATAAAATAAGCTTTAAAAAAAATCACAACTTCAACTCCTAAATGATTCATCTGTCAGAAGGCAGTGAGTCCCCATTTTCGCATGGTGGTTCAGAAGAGAATGGCTGAGTTCTAAGGGCATGGCATTTGGTGCCTAACAGACCTTGATTCCAGTTCTGATTCTGACAGTTACCAGCTGTGGGATCTTGGACAAATTACTTAACTTCACTAAGATCAGTTTTCTCATCTGTACCTCCCCGGGCTGTGGTGAGGTTTAAATGACTCAGACATGTACAATATTTCACAGAGGGCCTGGCTCACATTGAGGGAGCAATTAGCATTAGTTATTATTGTCTTGGCAAACATGACCTCTAAATCAGTTTCCTGGGAATGAAGGTGGCATACACTCATGACATTTATTAAACTTTGAGAGTCCCATATACTAATTCTCTAATTTCATTCTTCCTCCAACAAAAAGTCAACATTTAGACAGCAATGTACTGTTTAAGATCCACATTCACAAACACTGCATTTTTTCCTCTGACCTTTAGTCTGTTTCTCTTGTGATATTCCACATAGCATTATCCCAATCCCCAATTTGTAGATACAAAAGGATGATAAAAGTGAAAAAAGTGAACACTGACCATTAGATACCAACAAACTTAAGCAAATATTCCCAAACATTTAGCCAACTAATTATTGGTTTTTTTCCATGTTAGGACTATTGTAAAGGATAGTTGTTTTTACTTAATGACGATTTTATTCATGTGTATTAATCAAGCATACGTTATGCCAATGAGAAATTAATATGCAGGCTAGCAAGATATATGATCTCTTCTATGCAGAGACAAATGAGTACTACACTGAGGGGCTGATATCTATTCAAGTAGGTAGTACTTGGCAACTGAGCACTGCTAAGCAAGACTGTGATTCATTCCTAAGTACAATTATTCCTACCTAGCCTATGTACTGCTACTGTGTGCCCAGCAGAGATAGGAGTGCCATAGTGATATCAAACAACTCCTGACTTAAAGGAATGTTTTTCCAGCTGGGGGAGAAAAGACAAGAAAACAACACCAGACCATACGTAATGACAGTCCTACACTGTTCAGGACAAGCTGTGAATGCCCTAAGGCAGTGACTTTCTAAAATGTAGGCACTGTGGGCTCTTAAGAAATCCTTTCAGAGGAGTATAATGTGTAAAACAGACACAGAGGAGGTGAGTTGACTAAAGAAGAAGTGGAGGGCCCCTCCCCTGTGGCTCCCTCTGGCTACAAAGATCACAGATTTTCAAACTGCCTGGACTTGAATATTGGCTAAGATTTGAATGGACAAAGAGGAGGGAGGAAGGCTTTCGGGTTAGGAGGACCGGTAAGCCCAAAGATAAAAGGGTGGGAATTCAAATAAGAAGTGATAGGCCCTCCTTGGGACACCTAGTGAGGATGTACTGGTAAGTTGTGAAAGGAACCCACCTGGTTGCTTTTGGTTTTCAACCTAAATTAATTTTTGAATATTTTAAGCCTGGTGAAATAGTGAACAAATGCTGTAAATCAGGGCAGATAGGAAGCTTAAGGTTATTGGTCAGGTAACGAGTCTTGTCATTATTCTTTATTTCAGAGTCATTTCAAGTTGTCGTGAGAGGAAATGGCTTCCGACATGCCCGCAACGTGGACAGGGTCCTCTGCAGCTTCAAGATCAATGACTCGGTCACACTCAGTAAGTCCTTGCAGAGTCCATGGGTTTCTTCAACTGGCTTCAGAGAAGGGAATTCCCAGCCCTGTCTTCCAGCAAGGCCACAGACATGAAACCAGCAGAAAAGAGTCTTCTTTGCTAGAAAGATCCGTAGCAAGGGCATAGTGAGCCCCTACAGTGGTTCCAGTCAGAAAAGGCACCCCCTGGGTGGGCACAGTCCCATGGGCATCCAGCTTGGTAAGCAGAGCAAGGCTGGACTTGAGCCCCCGTCCTCCACAAAACACAGAGCCACAAGTCCCAGCTCTGCAGCAGCCCTCAGGAAGCAGCGGGACACTGGTTTCCTTGTCCCCTGCCACCTACCAAGTGGCTCACTCTCAGGTGGCAGTGCTGGTGATGGTTAATTAGGACTGGAGAAATGTGAGGCGTCTTAACAAAGTATTGGAACTTTTAAGGGTAAGTGTGAAAAAGGGATGGTCTAAATGCATTAATCTGGAATAAACCAAAAACCAAACCATTAGGCTTGCACATGTAGATTCTGCAGCTTTTTTCAATCTGGATGGTTCTTGTGTGGAGTAGCCAAGAAACTCTCATCATGGTGAATATCTTACATGAAATACAGGAATATGGAAGTAAAACTAAGTGCATTTCATGAGAAAAAATGAATTATCATAACATTGGCTTCTTCATGAGACATTTGTAGCAGTCAAGTTCCTAATTTAAAGATGTGTGTGATTCATGTGGTTGACCAGGAGAGATGGGGAAGATGATTATATGAGGGACAGATGCCAGAAGCACTGGTTATGATTTGGATCTGGCATCCCTCACACAGATAATTATTTATTCCACATCTGTAGTGATAACCGTCATAATATATCGCATTTTCTGTAATGCTATGTACCTTCTAAATGCTTCACATCTTTTTGCTACAACAGCCCTGAGAGGTAGAGAGAGCAAGGAGGAGAGGAGGACACACATTTGTTGACTAATCACTCACACTAGTTTTCTCCTCCTGATAGCCGTTTTTGTGTGTTTTTTGTGTTTGTTTGTTTGTTTTTGGAGTCTGATTTTGCTTTTGTTGCCCAGGCTGGAGTGCAATGGCACAATCTCAGCTCACTGCAACCTCCGCCTCCCAAGTTCAAGTGATTCTCCTGCCTCAGCCTCCCAAGTAGCTAGGATTGCAGGTGTGCACCACTCCACCCAGCTAATTTTTTTTTATTTTTAGTAGAGACAGGGTTCATCATGTTGGCCAGGCTGGTCTCGAACTCCTGACCTCAGTTGATCCACCCGCCTTGGCCTCCCAAAGTGCTGGGATTACAGGTGTGAGCCACCGCGTCCAGCTCCTGATAGCCTTTCAAAGGAGGTTATCTTGTTTTTAAAGAAGAAGAATTGAAGGGGTGTGGATATTTCCTTCTTGACATCATAGAATCCACTTTAGTAGTTAAACAGACACATGCTGTGGCTTCCTCACAAACATCTGGAATTCCTGACCTTGGAGTAATTCCAAACATTGGAAACATTCAGTTAGTTTTCTTAATATTTGGAAATGCTCTCACAGATCCAAAAGTACGTGCTATTTGAAAACATTCTGAAATATCCCTGGGTAGTCACAGTGTGAAAGTTGGACATGCATCCCCAGCAGAGTTCTTTTCTCTCCCTTTCAATTGCGATGTCGCTTAAGTCCCCCTTTTCTCTCTCTTTAACCAAAATCCCAAGTCTAACATCAGAAACTCCTGAGGGTTTAACTCAAAGACATCAATACCTTCCAAAGAAGACTTCCCAGACAAGCGGGCTTTCAGGCCGAAACTCTCTGAAGATACATGCAAGTGGGCTGGGGAGAGAGAGAATCTACGCTATGTGCTGTTGCTCAAAGGTTACACAAGATGCTGTATTAAATGAGATGAGGCCAGGCACGGTGGCTTATGCCTATAATCCCAGCACTTTGGGAGGCTGAGGTGGGTGTATGGCCTGAGCTCAGGAGTTTGAGACCAGCCTGGGCAACATGGTGAAACCTTGTCTCTACCAAAAATACAAAAAATTAACTGGATGTGGTGGTGCACACCTATGGTCCCCAGCTACTCAGGAGCCTGAGGCTGGAGGATCACTTGAGGCCAGGAGGCAGAGGTTGCAGTGAACTGAAATCATGCCACTATACTCCAGCCTCGGTGACAGAGTGAGACCCCATCTAAATAGTAATAGGAAGAAGATGAAATGCAAATTCACTATGGATTTGTAAAGTGAGTACTTGAAGGCCTATTTTCCAACTTCTCTGTGAAATTGTATTTCTTTCTTGGGAAACCAGTCCATCCTCTCTCTCCTTTCTTCCTTTCCTAATATATAGTTGCAAACATATACACAGGCTTGTCACCTCATTCATATTCAAAAAGAAATAGAGGTTGTTGGGGTAGGGATTTGGCTTAAATCACAAACCCGTGCCTTTAGCACAATGCCAACAGTTTGGAGAAAATGAAGGCAGTGATTTGATCATATTCTGTGCTGCAAGCAACACCCAAAAACTCAAGCGTACAGCTATTAAAAATATTCTACGGGGATTAGGAATATTTTTATTCCTAATAATATTAGCGTTTGAGGAAAATACTTGGCCTTTAGTTAGTAATTCACCTGTTCATTTCCATGCAGAAAATAATCTGAACAAGAACATGTGGAGGAAGAAAAGATGAGCAAATTTTAAAATGCAGCACATTTACATCTACATTTTTCTGTCAACTTTATAAATGTCATAGTTTCCACTGATTCCTCCCTATAAAATAAAATACACTTAGATTCCTTTACCTTTCCCATTTTCCTTCCCCACCTCTATACCCCAAGTTTTAAAATGTTATCTGTTCTTATTTTTATATCACATATTTCTTTTTTCAAGATTCTTTTTCCTAAATGCAGCATTGAATTTTGTGACAAAAAGAGAACATAAGTGATATTGTTAATGAGAAAGACTTAATTGAAGGCCCAATAATGAAGCTAAGGCTGTGTGATTCTAGACACTTCAAACATGAGGCCAACCTCAGGGTCTTCAGCAAATAATGCAATAACAAGCTATGTGAAGCAAAATCTGTCAAAAGAACAAACTTAAAATTATGTGGATAGTGGGAGATATTAATATGATTTTTCAAGTCTTAGAACTTAATTTAAAAATTAGAGATCTGGAGCATGTATCTTTATGCTCTAAAGATATAGGGCATATAATACTTTTTTAAATGACTGTGAACAACTTTGCAAATTGATCATTCTAAGACATGAATAAAAATACCAGTAGATTAATGCCAAAAGTAGAAATTGTTTAGACACATTCTTAGATGATAAGCATAACCACAAAATAGGTTAATACATGCTTCTCTCCCAATTTCCTTGCATTTGCTTAAAAAATCAACCACTTAGAAATCGAAGACAGTTTCTAGATTTGTGGTCAACAGAACAGATCCAAAATTCTGGATAAAATATGATTTTTCAGATTATATCATGTGGCCTCACTCAAAGGAAAGAAGTGGGAATCTCCAAGTACAGGAAACTAAATGGGAATAAAAACCCAAGTTAAGAAACAAAGTCACAGGGGCTCCAGGTCAGGCTGCAGGCTGTGATCCCGATGCTGATGCAGATACAGGACACCAGATCTCAGGTCTGTGCCAAGGCATCACACAAAAGCAGAGCCCCCTGAAGAAATCAAGCTCCAGCAGGCTACACCAAGCATTTAATTGGGCAAGGAAGCAGGCAGGGGATGCAAATCCACAGGTGTAATGATGTTACACCCCCCATGTGATACAGAAGCACCAAATCAAGAAACTAGCCCCAAAATATGTCCATGACCTTCCTGATCTCTGTGGCCCTACAGAGGCTATGCAGCTTCACCCTGTGGAAGGCTTCCACATGGCCCACACCCACAGCATGCCTGCAGCAAACAACCCCCTAAAGGTGGGCTGATGGCACACAATGACAAACCATGTCAAGATGAATGAAACAAACAGAACAAGCACAAAGGGAGGATCAGAGAGCAAATTTAAAAGAGAATGGAAAATAAATGTGTTTAAAATGTATAAAGAGATCAAACAGATCATAGGGGAAAGAATACTCATCAAAAGCAGATTTGCAGAAGAACTGAGTGTAAATTCTAGTTTTGAAAAGGTTTATTCACTGAAATAAAACTTCATGGATGGACTAAACAGTGTAATTAGACACAGATGAACATGAACTATATGAACGAGAAGGGAATTTGAGGAAGTTTCATCCCATCCCCCAACCAAAGCACCACATCCAGATTTTTTTCACCTGAGTTTTACCAAGTTTTAAGGGACAAATGACCCATATCACATATGTACTCTTCTAGAGGAAAGAAATAAAGAAAATGTTTTGTTTGGTTTTGTTTTTTGAGACAGGGTCTGGCTCTGTCGCCCAGGCTGGAGTGCAGCGGCACAATCTCTGCTCACTGTAACCTCTGCCTCGCAGGCTCAAGCAGTCCTCCCACCTTAGCTTCCTGAGTAGCTGGGACCACAGATGTGAGCCACCACACCTGGCTAATTTTTGTATTTTTTGTAGGGATGGGATTTCACCATGTTGCCTAGGCTGGTCTAGAACTCCTGGGTTCAAGTTATCCACCCACCTCAGCCTCCCAAAATGCTGGAATTACAAGTGTGGGCCACCACACCCAGCCAAGAAAAAGCATATAAATTCATTCTATGATAATAACATAATCTTGGTTAAAAAAAAAAAAAAAAACTGGACAAAGGCACTAAAAGTAGAGAATATTTGAGATCAAGCTCACTAATGACAAACATCTAAATCAAATATTGGCAAACAAAATCCAGCAATGTATTTAAAAAGGACCAAGATAGCTAAGACAATTTTGAAGACAGAGGGGGAATTTGTTTCTCATATAGCAAAAGTTACTGATGCCAGGAAGATATTAAAATTCATTATCTGTTCCTAATTTTTAAAAAAATATATTTCTAGTAAACTACGAATAGGATAAGACTCCTTTAACATAAAAATGTATCTGCATATTTGAATTCAAAACT